TGTGGCAGAACCACACGCCCAGGGAGGCCACCTGGGAACTGGAATCAGAATTTAGGGCCCAATATCCCCATCTGTTTGATCAAGAGTAATGAGGCAAATTTGGGGACCAAATTTCTTTAAGGGGGAGAGTTGTAGCGCCCGGAAAAGGGCAAAAAAAAAAAAAAAAAAAGCCACGTTAGCAGGCCCGGTCAGCAGTCCCGGCCAACCGGGACCTGCCACGTGGCAAGACCACGTCGTTCCGAAACGGGCCACGTTAGCGATCCGTGTAGGCGCGATCAGACGGCCTAGATTAAAACAAAATGGACAGCTGAGATCAAAGGCAAAGGGTTATAAATAGAACCCCCACACCAGACCACAAACCCTAGCCGCCTGCCGCTCGCCGGAGAAGACGAACCAGAAGCTGGACGCCGCCACCCGCCGCCGCACCGGGGAAATTTTCGACCGCCGATTGAGGTAAATTTCATACCCCCGACTCGTTTTTCCATGTTGATTCCTCCTGTGGCCAAATCAGAGCCAAAATCCCGGCCAAACGGCCGGAATACACGACCGAAGCCCAACGGCGCCGTCGTGCCCCTTCTCGGTTTTTGCCTCCTATGAGGCCCTTCCCGGCCTCCGTTTGATGCAATTTTTATATCACCGTGATCACCATTCTTTTCTCTACAGGTTGACCAGAGCCGAATCACCAAAACACGAACCTCGCCGGAGAGCCGCCACACCCGAGAGCGCCGCCGCCGGTAAGCTCCGTTTTTCCGTGATTTTTTGGCCCCCCGAGGGCCCTAGGGTTGTTTTCTCACAGGGACCGATACGAATGTAGCCGAATTCGATCGGAAACAGCCAACCCAAGGTCAATCGCCGCTGCCAGCGGCGGTGCTGTCGCCGGAGCACGGCGGAGCCGCCGTGCCGGAGTTGCGATATTGGCCGAAAGGGGCCCTGGGCCTAATTTGGGATTTTTTGGAACACGTGCAGGTACCAGTAGTGCGTTTCAGTTCCCCGAAAAAAATTCAGGGAAAATCAGGGACAGCCTGTAGGCGCACTGTGAAGCCGTGTTCGGACCTCGAAACGTGTAAGGACCCCTCACCTTATTTCCTATCACGATTTTAAAGTTCAATAAATGATAAAACGGTATTTCATGAATCAACGAATGTGTGAAATTGCTTAAGGTCGCTAATGGAGCCCAAGTCTAGTGTATTTGTCGGTTAACTGTTATTTGGCCTGTTTTACAGTTTTAAATGCAGCATGAGGTTCGATGTTTTCATTTTATAGTTTCGTGTGCATATTTTACTGTTTTATTGATT